GCATCAGAGAGTTGGACAGTGACCAAGGAGGATAGAAGGATAATTGATGCCTTTGAGCTGTGGTGCTGAAGAAGGGTATTGAGAGTACCATGGACTGCTAGGAAAACAAACAGATTCATCCTGGAAAGGGTAAACCGGGTGGCTCCTTGGAGGCAAGGATTCTGAGGCTCCGTCTAACATACTTTGGACATGTTGTAAGAAGAGACCGGTCCTTGGAGAGGGATATCATGCTTAGTTTGGTGGAGGGAAAGTGCAGGAGGGGAAGACCCTCTTTGAGGTGGATTGATTGAGTGACTGGGATAATCGGGATGGAAGTGTCAGAGAGAGTGCGATTGGCACAGGACAGAGCAGAGTTTAGGGCTGTTGTACATAGGGTCACTATGAGTTGCAAGTGACTCAACAGAACATAACAACAACAACATACGGTATTTGTTCTTATCCACCTGAGTTAATTCACTCAGCATAATGCTCTCTAGCCTCTCCATGTTACATAGTATTTTTTTAAAAATCAGTGCTCCTTCTGTAATCTTTTTATTTTCAAATTCTAGAACTTGTGATAAACATGTATTGGAACTTGTAGATCTGTCTTTCATAAAACCTTTCCTGTTCACGTAATCCTTTTCCCTTTATGCATAGTATAGTGGTATCCTCATGTTGTGTTTCTAGTCTACAGTATTGCACTTAAGCAACCTCCAGTCACAGTATCTAGCCATTCTACTTAATAGATTATTTTTGTTTGTGTTTTAATTTCAGTAGTCACACTCTTCTTTCCTAAAAACTTTGTGATGTGATAACATGCCCTAAATTCTCATTTACCATTATAGACACCTGTTTAATTCTCTTACAGAAGTATCTTTGTTTCTGGTCTGTAGAAAATGTTGCTTGTTTTCAAAAGCAGCATTGTTATTTATTAGTATATTTCTTATTTTTGTATGTTACAATTCAGGATGTGACTAATAACATGGATGCCAGGAGCAGAAAGCCAGTGTTCAAGGCCAAGTTCTGTCCCTTGGACACGTTCTTTAAACTCCATTAAAACTCCCTGTGTCCCATATTCTTTACTTGGGAAATTCAACCAAAAACAAACCTACTGTTCTTGAGTAAGCTCTGACTCATTTCAACTCTTTAACTGATTTCTAAGGCTGTAAATCTCCCCCCCCCAATAAAAATTGTAAAACTTTTGTTCATCAAAGACAGTCAGTTATGCAGTTGCTATTAATAAATTGCACACCTATAAACAGTTAAGGTGGTAAAAGTCATGTGATAGATACATTTACAATAATGACCAAAATAGATACATATACCATTAAGACAGAAGAGGGGAAGTAGCTGCTGAGGATGTCTGTGTACTACTGAACACATCATAGAATTTGGTTCCTTGGTTTAGAGGTTTAGGGTCATGGTTTCATGGTATCTCCCTGTTAACATGGTTAGTATTTCCATTCTGGCTCCTAGTTTGTTTCTTAGTCCCTGGAGGCATTAAATAGTGCAGGCACCTGTCCAGGGTTCAGTTGGTCCATATTCACCTTCAGGAAGTATCCCCAGGAACAGGCATAGATCATGGTAGCCTCATACTGTCTTGGCTTGTTAAAACCAGAGCAGAGTTTCCAGGAGAACTGTATGGCCTGGAGCTTCCACATTCTGTGCCAGATGTTTGGGTGTTCTGACTGCCACTTCAGGGTATCGAGGCTGTAAATCTTTGCAGGAGGAAACTACCAGTCATTCCCTTAAAGAGAGCCTGTGAAATTGAATTCTCAACCTTTTGGTTACCAGACCAATACATTATGCACTTAGGGCTGTTGTTATTTAGTGTCTTTGAGTTGACTACAGCTATTAAGGATAATAATAATAATGTGTATCTCGGATGATGGTTAGGATTAATGAAATGTGTCAAAATTTTTATATCACATAGCAGGTGCTTCTTAAATATTAGCTGCTGTTCCTTCTAATAGTTGTGCAAGTAGTATGTTAGGTGTGATCATGTGATTTGAGTAGATGGACAGGACAGTAGACATTTTACAATATGCCATACTACTCTAGACATTTCTCACATAACTTAAAATTCAGAATTGAATCTAACGTATTAAGTAACTTAACTTGGCCCTTTTGTTTTTCTATAGCTTGATCCTGAATTGGAAAAAAGACTGAAGATGAATAAAGTAACATTGGAGTCAGAGTATGAGGTGCAGTATATTAATATTGCCTCACTTTTGTAACAGATTTTTTAGTCCATGACTAGATCTCTCAGCTCAGGTAAATGTATTACCATTGCAGTTTAAAAAAAAAAAAGATCTCAAATATAGTGTATTGGGACAACTTGATAGTCCCTTAAAAAAGAAATAAAGATGAATCTATACTTTTTTTAAAAATTGTGATTTGAGTAAAGGTTTACAAGGAAAATTAAGGTATCAGTCAACCATTCATACACATTTTGTTCAATAACTTCTTCCCTGCAATTCTGATTTGTGTACCTCTCTGGGAGCTCTGGTGGCTTAGTGGTAAGGTGTTACGTTGCCACACTATAGGTAAGTGGTTCAAATCCAGCAGTTGCTCTCCAGAAGAAAGATGAGCAGTCTCCTCGGGCCCTTACTGGAGGGTCAGTTATGAGTTTACAGCAGATAACACTAACAGCATACCTCTCCATGGCTTCCCTTTCTTTGATGATACAGTGTTCGTCCCTTTATTGACTTTCCTTTCACCCATCTATCTTAATGTATGTCTTTTATGTTTACTAATTTTTAGTCCACTTCCCCTTCCCATCCTGGTAACTATTTAAGAATGACTCTAGCTTTGTGTAAACCTTCTTCTAATGTGTTATAATAGTGGCCTTCTGCTGTACTTAACCTCTTTGTGATTGACTTCTTTCATTCAACATTATGCCCTCTCAGTGCATGTGTCTCATGAGTTCTTTCTTTTTTAGTGTTGAATAGTACCCCATTGTGTAAATGTACCACAGCTTCTTTGTCCATTTCTTTATGGATAGATGAGTCCATACTTTATCAATAAGAAAATTAATTAATTATAGATGAATCACAATTTAAAAAAAATACAAAAGATCTGGTAAGAAAAAGGGAATATTTCTTTTTAGCAAAGTCGTATGTCAGGAAAGCCTATTTAATTATAATACAAAAACCCATATGCATAAAGGTAAAGATAGCTAAATTCATACATAAAAATTTAAAAAGTTAAGACTAGAAAGAAAATTATGAAGCCACGAGTTAAATGAAAAAATTATAAAAATATTCCTTATCCGGAATATTCCATCCAGAAGGAGTGCAGCAGTTCCTGTTTCCTGGCCTCACTGACTTCAGTTTCCCGCCCTTTTTCCTTTCTTCCCTTCTTCCCTTCCTTAAACGGGGGTGAGATAGTTACACCTTGCTGCTCTCGGCCTCTAAGCTGGTGCCACTGTAGCAAGTGCCCATGGCCTCTGAGGTTGGCCTTTTCCCCCCACAGTGTTGCCCTTGAAACTTGCTCTAAAGCCCGAGGCAGCCCAGAAGGATCCAAGTTGATTTCACGCCAACACTGGCTCTTGTTCAGCACACCCTTCAGCTGGGGCCTCCACCTCAATAAGGGGCCCTGTGCTCATTCTACAATTGAGGCAGTCTGGGGAATGGCTACAGCAAGAAAAGTGTGTGTCCTCCCCAAGCTTTAAAAGGTTGTGTCCATTTCCTTTACTACACTGGCTTAATGACAAGGGCGTTCATGTCATGTAGTTCTTGTTTAAGTTCCTCTAAAATCCTATTTTCGTGCATGCAAGAGTTTGAGAGTTGGCTCCAGAATAAACAAGAAACATGGTTAATTCATAAATCCTTTGCATAATCCCTCTCAGAATAGATGCTTTTGAAAATACACTTAGATGTTGGTGGTTGTGTTTTGTATTTTTTTTCTGAAAGCTCATTTTGTGAAAACGAGATGAAGAAGCCCAGGAATAAGACTTTTTAAAGAAAATACTTAAAATAAATATTAAAAAAATTAAAATATTAAAACATTCTTAGTGAATTCTGTATTGTAAGCAGTTAAACTAGTAAAGGTAGAACTTGATCAGAGAAGTGGAAATATCAGCCTTCTGGGGGGATCTGCAGTTGCATCATATTTCAGTGTAGGGAATAAATTTGTGAATAGTGTGTGAACCAAGATTATTTGTCATTAAAGCTGTGCTATTCAAAAAAATTTCTTTATCCTATCATAATGAATTAAAGAATACAGATCAGTATAAAAGTTTAGCAATGTAGTAGAAATATGGGCAAATCATTTGAAGTATATAGAGAAAAGGAAATAGACTTCTTAAACATATGGTAAGATGCTCAATTTCATTAACATAATAGAAAATTAGCTTAAATAATGAAGTACGGTTTTTGATCTCTTGGCAAAAATGAAGACATGTAACAGTATATCATATTATGGGGTGGAGTATGTGAGGCTATTCCTCATCTCTGATGGTTTCGTCAGTTTGAAGGATGGTACAGGATAGGGCAGGGTTCATGTCCATAGGGTCACTATGAATAGTGGTCACCTCCATTACACAAAACAACCTCCAGCTCCTAGTTCATATGTGATGTCCTTTGCAATGATCTATTTTCTTATTGCCATCAAATTGGAACTGGCTCATAGCTGACATTGCTCTGGGTTTCGGAACCTGTCTGTAGCACAGGAGGAGACAGCACATCTTTCTCCCTTGGGACCATTAGTGGATTTGAACGACCGTTCTCATGGCCTTTGGGTTCACAGTGGAACTCCCTGTGGACTGCACCACAAACTTGAAAATAATCCTCCTAGGGAGCTCTGGTGGCCTAGTGGCAAGAAGCTGCACTGCAATCCCAGAGGCACAAGGTTCGAATGCACCAGATGCTCTGCTAGAGAAGGAGAGGCAATCTCCTCCCTATACCAGTCAGATCCGATTTGACAGTACACCCAAAAAAAAAAAAATTAAAAAAATATAGACAAGAAGCCTCCTTCACACTGACCAAACCACTGTATGTTTAGATCATTTCATAACTATGCTTGAAAATACATTAACCTACTCTTAAACGTTAAATTACCAAATACCAAAAGAACAACTGTCTTGAAAGACATACAGCAAGAGTGCTTCCTAAAAGGTAAGATGATAAGGCATCATCTCAGTACTTAGGGCATGTTACCAGGATGGCCTAGTCCCTAGAATAGGACATCACGTGGTCTGCGCTTTCCAAAAAGCTGAAAATATAAATACCATTTGACCCAGCAATTCAACTAGTGGGAATATACCCTAAAGAAACCAGAGCCATGACTCAAACAGATGTATGTATACCTGTGTTTATTGCTGTGTTATTCACAGTAGCAAAGAGATAGAAGCAATCCAAGTGCCTGTCAACAAATGAATGGATAGAAAAATTATGGTACATTAACACAATGGAATATTATGCAGCATTGAAAAATAATGAACTCGTATAACGTTATACAACATAGCGGATCCTGGAGGACATTAAGCAGAGTGAAGTATCTCAGTCACAAAAGAATAAACACTGCATAACACTGCTGTTATAAAATAGGACAGACATGGCGGGTGGTGTTGGGGAAAGAGTGGATCAATATATGAACACTGCATTAGAACAGATGAGGGAATGCACTGTCCGAAAAGAATATATAAATAAGCATGATTAGACAATAATCTGGAACAGAGGATGCATTGTGGGGCGGGGAGAGAAGAAAATGTTCAGCAATTAAAAAATATAAATAAACTACAGTGTACCTAAAAGGAAGTGGTGAATGTTTTTAATGGACAAAATCACCTGATTTTTAAAGTCAGAATTTATAGGATATTTGTTATTTTATTTTGTTTTGTTTTGGTAGATAAACTTACCTAGGCTAAGGATTCTCTTTTGTTTCTCATTTATTTCTTAAAATCATGAGTAATGTATTTTATGTAATCTCTATCTCTTGATAAAATTGCTTTTCTTCTATAATATATTAAAAATTTATATTGCCTTTTCATATGAAAAAAAATTACTATGGTGGTGATTATTTTGCCATTGAGTTGGAACTGCCTCATAACTGATCTTCCAGCGTGTTTTCAGAGGTTGTAAGTCACATGGGAGGAAATTGCCCATCTTTTTCCTGCAGAGCAGCTGGTGGATTCAAACCACATGCCTTTGGGTTAGTAGTCCTTACCACTCAGCCACCAGAACTCCCTATAATGAAGGTAGGAGCCAAACTGTAACTGAAACTAGGTCTGATTGCCTAAAAGAATTTCACTGTGGTTACTGTAGGGCATGTACTTTGGGGTTTTTCCTTAAGTTTAGGCTTATTTCTTAGTGCCAGGATAATCAGCTTGGTCTTTTTTCTTCTTTTTGACTGAAGTTAGAGAATTCACATTTGTCCTTTTTCCCCTCACTCTCTCATTTATTATCATCATCTGTGTTCTTAGTCTTTATACCACATCAGTCTTCAGATTAAAATTTTGTTTTCCCAGCTTCTTGCTTTTCTTTATACTCTCAGAAAATTGAGTTTATATTTTCCTGTTGTGGTAGTTGTATACTTAGATAGAAGGAGCCCTGCTGGTTAATACATTACAATTGGATGCTACCAGAAGGTAAAAGTTTGAATCTGCCAGCTGCTTTGAGGCAGGAAAGTCAGTCTCTTCAGTAAAAATTTACAGCCTCAGAAACTAAGTGAGGAATCATCTTGAGTCTGACTTTCTTGATGGCTTTGACTTTGATTTTGGTTTGATCTGCTGAGATACTGGTGTGTGTCAGGTAACATCAAGAGAAAGAACAAAAAATTCCAACAGCTGAGAAATATGGTATTTTTTTTATTACATTTTTTTTTCTGCAGTAAATTTCTTTGCTAAAATTGTTATTGCAGACTCACTGGATTCTTGCTACTTATTCGTTCAGTAATGTTGTGATCAAAGCTTCAGAGCTCCTGTACTAATATGACTACTTTAATGTTTTTGTGGTTGTGTAGAAAATGAAGGAGTGCACTTTCGAGGACTGGAAGAATATTCGAGGACCTAGGCCTTGGGAAGATCCCAACCTCCTCCAAGGACGAAATCCAGAAATCCTTAAGACTAAGACAACCTGAATATGTTGATTCTACTTTATTTTTCACATTTTAAAATTAAAAATATTGTCAAGTGGACATCCCACCATATATTCCTATAAAGTGGAAAGAAAATTCTAGAACCTCAGAACTCTCCAAATTCTTAACTTGATGGTTAAGTATCAAAAACGTCTAGAGGAAGTCTTTATACTTTGAGGTATTCCATTTGCAAATCAAAGTTGTGGTGTTGATGACATATATTTTGTACCTCTCAATAAAAGTGTAGATATTACTATTGAAGAGTGGTGATTTATTCTCTGACTCAGCTACCTACCTGCCTGCCTCTCCTACCAAACACCACATGAACTTCTTGGATACTTGGGTCTGATTCCTGATGAAAATAGTGAGTCTGCATCCAAACTCTTAGTAAAATCAAGAAGTGGTTTTATGCCAAACCAGTGTAGGAAACAATGGTGATCATCGTCTGAGATGAGTTTTCTTTTTATTCATGTTACTTTATATGATGTGCTAATTGGTCCCCACAGGAAACTGTGGTTGCATGACTTATGGGTGCTTTGCTCTTAACCAAAATGTTGCATCTCAGGTGGTTTGAATCTAACAACTGCTCCAGGGGAAAAAAGATGGGCATTTTCTTCCCATTATAATTTACAGCTTCAGAGACCCAATGGAGAGTAGATAACAGTTAGGAATTTCAAGTTTGACTTAGTCTACAAAGCTTTACATGATATTTATATTAGTGCTTTAAGGGAGATCTGGTGGCTTAGTGGCAAGGAGTTGCACTGCCAGCCTTAAAGGCATGAAGCTCAAATCCACCAACTGTTTTGCAGGAGAGAGATGGGCATTTTTCTGTGTGATTAACTGTCTATGGAAACTGCTGGAGGGTCAGATATGGATTGGTTCTGACTCGACAGACCACAACAGCAAAAACTTAATTTGCATCAGCTTTGTGGAAGTTGATGGGGAAAAAAAAACCCTGTGCAAAATGAAACTTTATTGTTATGGGGTAAAATAAAGTGGTGCATGATTTTATGCAGATTTGTTAATGTACCATTTGGAAACCATAATTTAAAGTATGCTCTAGCATTATTTGCATGTCAGTTGATCCAGTACATTGAGTTTGCTGTGATTGGATCACTTGCAAAAGGGTAGAATTGAGGGAAGGTAGTGGATTATAACAAACTATGACTAAACACTGAGAAGAATGAGAATCCCAGAGCATTTAATTAGCCACATATGAAACCGATACCCAGACCAAAAAGCTCTTGTCCGAATACATTAAGTGAATACTGTGAAGTTTAAAATCAGGAAATGTGTACCTCATTTATATCCATTCTCCATACCTATTCAATCTGTACACTGAGCAAATCATTCGAGAAGCTTGGACTCTATGAAGAAGGATATAGCATCAGGATTGGAGGAAGATTCATCGACAATCTGCTTTACACAGATGACACAACCTAGCTTCCTAAAAGTGAGGAGGATTTTGAGTGCTTGCTGCATACATACAGCCTTTAATATGAGTTTCATCTCAACATCAAGAAGACAGTAATCCTCACGAGTGGGCCAAAAGGCAACATCATGATAGAAAAAAATATTGAAATTGTCAGCAATCTCATGCCTGGAAAGGTAGAGGGTCAGCAAAAGAGAGGAAGACCCTTGGCATGTTGGATTGACAGAAAGTGACTGCAGCAATGGTTCAAGTGTGCCAAATGATGAGGATGGCACAGGTTAAGACAGGGTTCAGATCTGTTTTTCATGAGTTGCTATTGAATTATTCACTTTCCCACCCATTTTGGGCAGCCTTGTCCTTTCACCACATCTTTCAAGCCAAGTTGTAGATGCCTAAAACTTCTCAGTTAAAGTACTGCACTGGAACTGCCAAAAATTGTCAGTGTCCCCTATATCTCACCCCAATCAAATTCTCTTTTCACTGAGTTTAGTAAAAAGGAAAGCAAGCTGATCATTGCCTTTTGATACAAGTTAGACCCTCCCATAGATGGCCTTTTAAAGAAAGAAACATATGCTCTCCAACACTCTTAGAAGCTCCTTTTTTAAAAGTAAAATGTATACAACCAGTTAAAAAATAGCAGTTAGAAAATAAGGATTAATCACTAAAATAAGTTAACAGTAGCCAAAGCAAAGGGAAGAAATCAAGAAGTTAAAGAGCGGAACAGACGTTTTCAAAAGGCAGCTCTGGAACACAACGCAAAGTATTGTAATGAAATGTGCAAAGAGTAAGAACTGGAAAATCAAAAGGGTCGAAATCGCTCAGCATCTCTTAAGTTGAAGAAACTGAAGAACAAATTGATGCCTTGGGTTTCAGTTCATAAGGGTGCTATGGATAGGAGATTGATCCAGGAAGCATCAAAAGAAGACAGGGAAAGTACACGGTCACTGTAACAAAAAGAACTGACTGACACACAAGTATTTCATGAAACAACTTATGTTTGAGAGGCAATAGTGATGAAGGAGGAAGTTGCTCTGAAGGAATTGGGGGGGGAGCCCCAGGAATCGATGGAATACCAGTTGATATATTTCAGTAAACAGATGCAGCCCTGGAAGTGCTCACCAAGCTGTTCTACGAAATCTTGAGAACAACCACCTGGCCAACTGACTGCAAAAAAATCCATGTTTATTCCATAAAAAAAAAAAGTGATCCAACAGAGTGTGTAAACTATCAAACAATATCACTAATACCACATGCAAGCAAAATCCTGCTGAGGATTATTCAGAAGTGATTGGAACAGTATATTGACAGAGAACTACCAGAAATACAAACTGGGTTTAGAAGATGCCATGGCACTAGAGACATTATTGCCAGTGTCAGATGGATATGTTGGCCAAAAGCAGAGAATACCAGAAGAATGTCTGTGTTTCATTGACTATGCAAAGGCATTTGACTGTGGATCACAACAAGTTGTGGCTAATTTTGAGAAGAATGGGAATCCCAGAACACCTGGTTGCACTCATGCAAAACCTATACTTGGACCAGGAGGCAGTCATCAGAACAGAGCAAGGAAACACTGCATGATTCAAAACTAGGAAAGGGGATGTGTCCTTTTCAATCTGTATGCTGAACAGATAATTCAGGAAGCTGGACTTTATGAGGAGGAATGTGGCATGAAGATTGGAGGCAGACTCACCAACAACCTGTGATACGCAGATGACACCACCTTGCTTGCCAAAACTGAGGAAGACCTGAAGCACTTGCTGCAGAAAGTCACTCCTTACCTCCAAGAAGCATTTTGGTTGCACCTTCTCTAATGACAAGTCTGTCTGTTCTTTTGGCAAGCCATGGAATATTCAGTACTCACCAACACCACAACTCAAAGGCATCAATTCTCCTGTCCTCCTTCTTCATCTCTTAGATACATAGGAGATGATTGGAAAGACCGTAACTTGAGTCATTAGACACATCTTAGTCTTTAAGTTGACATCACTTCTCTTCAGGACTTTGGAAAGATCCCTTAGAGCAGACTTTCCCAAAGCTTTATGTCTTCTGATCCACACACTGCTAAGACTAAGGGTGTTGACTGTGGATCCAAGTGAAATGAAATAATTGACAACTTCAATCTTTTCTCCATCTATTATGATTGCTTATTGGCCCAGTGGTGAGGATTTTTGTTTTACTGTTGAGATGTGATCCATATTGAAGTCTGCAGTTCTTTATCCTCAGCAGTCAAAGTTGTGTCATCTGCATAAAGCAGGTTGTTGATGAGTCTCTCCGATCTTGAGGCCACATTCCTTTTCATAAAATCCAGCTTCTCTAATGATTTGCTCACATACAGTTTGAATAGGTATAGAGAAAGGATTAGAAGAGACTATTGTTGTTAGGTGCTGTCGAGTACAACTCAGTGACCCAATAAACAATAGATCTGAACCCTCTCCTGTGACATCCTCACAATCACACATTTAAGTCCATTGCTGCAGTCACTGGGTCAGTCCACCTGGTTGAAGGTCTTCCTCTCTTTTGCTGTCTCTCCACCTTCCCAAATATGATGTCCCTCTCCAAGAAATATCCTTTCCTAGCAACATGTCCAAGGGATGTGAGATGAAACATTATCATTTTTCCCTTCAATCAAAACTTTTGTAGTTGTCTGTTGATGTGCTATTCCAGTCATTTTTGGATAATTTTCAGCAGAATCTTGCTTGTATATGCTATAAATGATACTGTTCAATAATTTCTGCACTCTGTCACATACCTTTCTTTGGATTGGGAACAGATATGGACCTCTTCCAATCAATTGGCCAAGTGGTTGTCTCCAGATTTTTTTGGCACAACTTGGTGAGGGCATCCAGGGCAGCAGTTGGTTGAAATACGTCAGTTTGTATGCTGTCAATTCCTGAGGCCTTGTTTTTTGACAATTCTTTCAGAACACTTCGAACGTCTTCCTTCATCACCACAGGCTCTTGGCTCATACATTATTTTATGAAATTCTGTGTCTTCCAATTCCTTTTGTTTGGTACAGTGACTCTGTATACTCCTTCCATCTTCATTTAATGCTTCTTGGATAACTTCATATTCTGCCCAAAGTGTCCTTAAGTATACAACTCAAGGCTTGAATTTGTTCTTCAATACCTTCAGGTTAAATACTGGGAATTCCACCCTTTTGATTTTCTGACTCCAGCTCTTTGCATATTTCATTATAATACTTTACTTTGTCTTCCTGCATTGATTCAGTCTTGTCTGACATCTAGGTCTTTTCTTCCTCCCTCTGTCTTTATAGTGACCTTTTACATTCTTCATGGATGATATTATTCTCTCCTCCCACAACTCATCTGATTTTTGCTCATTAGTATTCAAGGCCTCAAACCTGTTACTGAGTTAGTTTTGAAATTTGAGTATGATAGACTCAAGGTCAAATTTTGGTCCCTGTGGATTTGATTTAATTTTCTTTAGTTTCAGCTTGAATTTCCCTATAAGTAGTTGGGGGCTTTTCTACAATCAGCACCTGCCCTGGTTTTCACAGCTAATACTGAGCTTCTCCAGTGATTCTTTCCACAGATGTAATCTAATTCCT